GCTATCAGATTGGTCAGGCATGATTTCCCCTTGGTGAATCCATGTTGACTACTCCTGATAACCTTCTTTTCCTCCACTTGCTTGTTGATGACCTCCAGGATAACCTGCTCCATCACCTTTCCCCGGATGGAGGTGAGGCTAACCGGCCTGTAGTTCCCTGGGTCCTCCCTTCTTGCCCTTTTTGAAGATTGGAGTGACATTGGCCTTTCTCCAGTCCTCGGGCACCTCTCCTGTCCTCCAGGACCTCTCAAAGATGACGGAGAGTGGCTTAGCAAAGACATCTGCCAGCTCCCTCAGCACTCGTGGGTGCATTCCATCCGGGCCCATGGATTTGTGGGCGTCCAGATCGCTTAAGCAATCCGTCACACAGTCCTCCTCGACCAAGGGAAAGTCATCCTCTCTGTAGGCTTCCTCTCTTACCTCCGGGGCCTGAGATTCCTGAGGGCCTGCCTTGGCACTGAAGACTGATGCAAAGTTTTGGTTTTGTATTTTGCTAGCTCACCACAAGACCACTCTTTTGGTCTATCAAGATTATATTTCATCATTTTTCTTCCTCTGAGCTGTAACACTACCATTCCTAACAAACGGCAGCACTAATCTATACGCTGGGTAGTCTCTGCCAAGATCAAGCAACCTACTAGTTGCATGTGTTAACTACAACTGGTTTGAGATGGGAAATTTCAGAAATGTTTTTGTAACAATGACTACTCCCTGACGGAAGGAAGGAAGCTAAGCTGGATCATGATGGAACGTCAAATGCCAAAGGGCACTGCAAGAAGAACATCGAAACCAACCCAGATTACTTAGACGATTCCATTCATCTGAAGTAAACATTGTTTTAGAATTAAGCAGTCTAAAATATGAATAAAAAAAGAACTCACAAGTATGACGATCTCTGAAATGGACTTTTTTTTTTTTTGTAGTTAATAAGCATTTTGCTTTGGGTTTACGTTTTAGTAGAGGCAGTTCAGCAAGTTACTCTGGCAGAAGACCCTGCGCAGGAGCAGTTCTTGCAGAGAATGGGATTG